ATGGGATCATGACACTGAAAACATAGGGTAGGAAACAGCTCTGCAATGAAAAATATTTCCGTGATCATAATGATGCAAAAGCTGAAAATCAATTTTCAACAATTAGAATCAACCTGAAAATAGAGCATGGAAAAGTTAATTTGATTACAGAATAGACAAAAATGTGATCAATCTTGACAGTGTCAAAGTAAAACTCTAGCCAGCCCAAGTGGGGAGGAAGAAAAGAGAAGAGAATAGAGAAGAAAGAAAAGGTAAGGAATGGGTGGAAGGGAGAGAAAGTAATTACTGCTCTTCATTATAAGCTTTTTCTCCCAAAGGCATTATTTTAAGAGAAAACATTTTTAGATTTTTTAAGGAGAAAGTTGTTACCAGTAGCAAATGTTACAAAATGGTCAAGTGAGAAAGAATTAAATTTGCCTTGCAAAATTTCAGTAAGACCATTCAGTAAGACTTGGAAAAGACCATTTCAGTAGAATACTATAATGGAAACCAGAGTGCAGTAGACTGGGAAATGAAGACCTGATGAGGACAATTATACCCAGCAGAACTCTAAGGACAGGAGAGAAGAGGAGAAAGGTTGCTAACAAGACAGACTGAAAGTAAAGGGAAGATTGGGGTTGCTATTTCTATTTATATGGAAGAGATCTGAGCATGTTTTTAATTTGACCAGGATGAAGAGGCGATGACAGGTGATGAAATCCAGAGTACATAGCGAGAAATTGGTAAAGAGTCACAAAGAATGATTACATTTTGTAATGATGAATATACTAATTATCCTAATTTGATCATCACATATTGTACACAGGTTTTGATATTCAACTCCATACCCTACAAATATGTATAATCAATTATGTTTCAATTAAAAAAAAAAAGAAATCCAGAGTACAGGGTGAAGAACCAACTTGGACAAAAGAAGAGATATCTATTCTTCTAAAATAAGAAGAAATGAAGTAGGAGTGGACTCAGACACAGTCATAAAGCTGGTAAGATCCAGCTAATGGCAGGATCACAGAGAGCTCTGTCCTCTAATTGTGACCAAAGCAGGAGCTGGAAAAGCTTACAGAACTGGTCGTTTCAGACAGCAGAACAAGAGAACCAACAAGTACTTACTATTAAATAAATAGACTAAGATGACAGGCCTCATACTATGGTTGAAAACACTTTTCCATTTGAGAATCATTTTATATTACCTCTTCTGTTGATTGAATTATTCTTTATGAGAATCCTTTAATATAACTTGGTGTCTGGATCCAGAAAAGGATATTTGGAGAATGACCAAGGAGGGCAAAGTTTTACTCATTTATAAAATGAGTAATGAAAATAAAAAAACTGGCTACATTAGAGTTACTGATCATGCCATCCAAGCCTGAGTGATCGATGTTAAAATTTATGTACCCAAATCAGTGCTTTAAATTTTGGGAAAAATCTAATTGCATTCTCTTCATTATGAATTAAGACCACTACATTCAACATCATAATTCTAGAACTTCTTTTTTTAGCTGTGTTCTCTCTTTCTAATTAATCTAATTAATATGGTAGGTTGTTATTTTGCTACTAAATATTACAAATAGAAATCTGTTTATGACAAATTTTAGAAATGTACTTCCAGTAACTAGTTATTTTTAAAATGTATATGCAAATTAGCAGATAAATTGGTGACTTTAAACTGGATCCCTTAGCAAAATTTACCCATGCTATTTGCTTTTATTATTTCTGTTAATAACCTTCCATCTTAAAACAGTTCTTCCTCTGGGCATTTATGCTGATGAAACAGTGCTATGTTACTCCACGCCAGGCTTTCCCTAAGTAACCTGAAGCCTGCAGACAGATTTTAATGAAATGATGACATAGTTCTCCAAAGATCTGATTTTAAATTACGTTATAGCCAAAACCATATTTTTGAGACTGTAAAATTAGATAACCTCATTAAAAATAAAATAACAGCTGAGGATGTTTTGAAGCCAACTGACCAGGTTAAAAAGTCCTGGGAATAGGGGAGGGGTGAAAAAAAAAAAGTCCCGGGAATAAAACTGAATCTGTGATGACTACAGACACACATTGGTAATTGCTAAGGTAGCCCCAGCTTGGCAACACCGAGGTGTCAGGGAAAATGGTAGTGAGCTTAAAGGGAAGTATTTATTGAAAAGTTTCCACCGCGTGTCCTGGATTACTGGAACATGATACAGTCAGATTCTAGTGTAACCATGGTTGTTTACAATACCCTGGGCAATTTGAAACTTTGTGATTTCAACAACTGATGAAAAAGTTTTGAGTAATGTAATCACAGTGATTTCTCAGTTCACCCAAATGTGTTTCTAGCTCAGAAACAGGTACCAGTGACCCCTTTTCTCTCACACATAACCAAAATAATGAATTCACAGTCTTGGTATCACACTGCATTAAAAATTACAAAGTAGGTTTTTAGCCTTGAGACAAAACTTTACATCCATTATCTCATTTAATCCTAAACCACTTTGTTTTATGAGTCTACAGTCATTGCCATTCTGCCTATTCCTGATGCTTGATAAGCCTTATTCATTGGTCTTACCCTTGTCTTTAATAGCCTTTCTTTTATGACTGCATATTTATGTCCTCTCTGACACATCTTTCAGGCTAACACTTCTATGCTTTTCTTCTATGTTGGTTCACCCACCTCTAGGTTATGTTCATGTTCTGATTGTTTATTATTCTAACCTACGCTTTGATCCACACACTCTCTCATTTTGACCATTTTTATCTTACTGAAATTCAGATTTCACTTCTAAGATTAGCTCTCTTCTATGCTACCCTAATGAAATTGTGCTGTACTTTTATACATTAAATACTTTGGCTTGGCAATCTAAAAAAAATTCTCCTTCTTTTAAGAGTTATCAGTAATGTTGGTCTCATTCAAAGATTTGCTTCTAAGCTTTTAGAAATATCCTTTATTAAACCCAATCTTTTCATTTTTCATTAGGTTCTACTTTCTTAATATCCACTTGCCTCTTCTTTTTTTCTTTCAACTAATTTTTGTCTGCTTAAATTGTCTCCTACAACAAGTTACCCCTTCTCCAACTTTTTCACCTAAAAATTCTGATTATTGAGTAATATACCTAATTTTTAAAAGTAATTTTATTTCCCTTTTCTTATATTTTCTCATTTATTTATTCACTGTATTCACTGAGGGAGCTGAAATTAAATATAACTACTAATCTTGTCAACTAAAAAGTTTAGAGCAAACACATGCAAAAATGTACAATAAAAGAAAATAAATAAATAGATGTTGATTCTGTTTCTTATCTAGTTTAAGCATTACAATCCAATGATCTTGCATCAAACTGAATTCTCCCTGTGCATGACCAGAAGCATCCATCATTATCTATAAAGTCACAAAGTGGTACTAGGAGAAAAAAAGACAGGAGGTATATGTCTAATCCATGCACACACATATTAAAATTACACAATGCCCAAAAGTTTCCCCTCATAAAAGTAAACTTCTCCTCTTTAAAATGTAATTATATATGAGTATAGCATGCAAGTGGGTTTGCTCCCAAGTTAATGATTTATTAGGAGCTTCATACAGCTAAAAAATCAAAACTTTAGAACCCAGGCTTAATTTTTCAAAGTGAGTCTTAGGTCACAAAACTGAGCATTGCACAGGATTAAATGATGAAGAAAGCACACAAAGAGTCTTGGGTTTGAGATTAATCATCCTAACAGACTCTACTTGATTTGTAAAGACAGGCAAAGGAAGAGCCTGTATCAGACCATTGCAGTGGGGAGTCGCACACAGAGGAGATGAGAGGAGGGCCTGGGGAAGGGGGGAAAATGTAAAATAAAACCAGAAGAGGCCTTTATGAACCAATGATGATATGTGCCAAGATCTGAGATATAATTAACTCAACTCTCTGCACCTGAGGGTAAAACAAAGCCAAAGGGAACTCCAGGGAAGTAACACATCATATCTTCCCTTAAATCCCAGGGAAAACAATTCACCAACAAAGTACTTCTGACAGACTATCACAAAGTGACACAGTTACCACTCTTTGTGATCAAAACAAAACAGAAAAGACTTATACCCAGAGTAAACAAAAACTTCAAGGTAGTGCCAGTTATAGTGGCATGATAGAAGAAGTACCTTTACAAAAGTTTTCTACCATATTGTCTTATTACTGGAAATATTCATGCAGATAACAGTCAAATCAATAATGATCCAGAAGACATCCCTTCATTCAGTGGGGGTTGGTTTCAATTATTTCCAGGTTTCTTTTCTCCAAAAAGGAAATGATACAATTTTATACAAAAGATAATCTAAAATGAAAAGAAATACTGTACCCTCTCTTTCTAGCCAAAATTTAATTTTTCATTTGTTCTCAGGTAAAGGACCCTTTAAAAAGATCCTTTCGACTAGCAATTCTATGTGGAAGTAAAAGCTTTAAATCTTAAAATTAAGTATCCTGTTCACATGAACAAGCTAAAAGGAATTAGAATATGCTTATTATGAATAAAGGGCTCTATACTCCCATGTCATTTTATTCTCACTACAAAAAGATGCCCATGTTTTCCTTAACAGTGACAGGACACATAGGAAGAGTTAGAAGTCAAAAATGAAAGTGTAAGAGTCATACATAGAAATCACCTTGAACTGATGCAAATTGTATTAGCTTCTGAACAATTTTACACTAAATTGAGTTTGTTAAATCACATTTTGAACACCTGTTCTTTTTAGCACCACGAGTTTGAACACCAGCATAGGTGATACACATTTGCCTACAAAGACTGGTAAACTACCAAATGCCACACAGCTTAGTATAGGAGGTTAAGACCCACTGTAAGAAAAACGATAATTATTTTTAAAATAGGAACATTATGCTTTTAGTCAAACAAACTAACACTTACTCGTTCTCTAAGCCATCTTGTTTTTCTAGGCACAAGTGATCATACCTGGATAGGCAACCACTACATAGCCAGAGCCTGAAATGTTCATCCCACTAAATGCCGATTTTCTTTTCTTCCCTTACCTGATAATGAGCCTGGGCTTGCTGCGCAGAGTTCAAGGTGACATTGCAGAGTTTGCAGTACAGGGGCTTACATAGCTCCTCCAGGGTAGAGTCTTGCTCCCCTCCCTTAGGTAACTCTTCTTCCCCTGCCAGAGGCAAGGAAGCCTCCTGCCCAAAAGGCTTCTGTGGTGGAAGCTGCAAGGTTCCTGTAGACCTAGTGGCTACTGACATAGGAGGAGAGGATGAGGGCCGCTTAGGCAGAGGAAGGCCGGCGTGTTGCAAGAGGATCATTGGGTAGTAGAGCTTTGGGCATAATCCAGTTGGCGATGAGAAGCCAGGTCTTCAAATCTGAATCAACACAAAAGAAATACTTAAAAATGAGACCTCAGCAATACATGTAAATGACAGCACCTTCTGACCCTTTCCTCTACTTCTCCAAACCATCTTTGGGACTTCTTTCCTTTTGCCTTATCTAGCAGACTTCCCCTGTCTGTTAATTCACATTGACCCAATGCTCTTCCACTGAGAATGGCTTTATAGATTTGGCTTCATTTTCCTTGGCACAGCTCCAACTGCTGTCCCTCTGGCCCATGAACATTAATAGCATTGCATCCCTGGCTAATTAAATCTAAAGGTCACATGGCTGAAATGGACATCAAAGGTCACCTAGTCCAGACCCCTTCCCTCAGGCACACTTACACTTAAACACTCTTGATGGTAATCACGCATAGACAAAAACACCACTAGCTAAATATCTTAGCAAATATTTCTTTTCTGTCCAAACAACATCTAAAAGAATGAAAGCGTATCACCTCAGAATCCTTAAAACACTTCTAGAATTAGCTAAAATATGATGGAACTCTAGGAATAACCCCGAATTAAAATGTGGCAAATAAATCAAAGTGTTCCTTCTGATCAACTGGCAATATTTAAGTAGGTGAGCCAATGCATTCCTTACAGCAAAGGTTGCAAACAGATGGCCTATGGGCCACATACGGGCACAGATATGCTGCTTGAGATATACAGTGTTTGGTTTTGCTTCCATTTTTTAAATTGAATTAGTTGCCAACATTTAAAAATCAAGAGATTCATGACTTCTCTTGATAAAAGAATAATCTGGCAACGCTAGTCAGTGCTCAGAGGCACTGTCCCCTGTAGCTAAGCCTGCCTCTCCAGGCCACCTCAGTCCCCACTCAGCCTGCTGCCTGTACTTGTGTTACTTGCCTGCTCCCAGTAGGCCCTTGAGTTTATGATCCCTCCTCACTTAGCCTGAAACTATATTCATGAGTCCGCTATAAAACATCTTCTCTCCTTCTAAAGGCAAACTGCCTCTACAAAACAAGGTATCAAGTAAATGTTCAATGGAGTAATGGATCACACTACCATAAACACCAATATAATTCCAATTCCTCAGTCTTTAGGCTATTTCTTTCCCTCTTCTTATTAAATAACTGATAGTTTCTATTCTATTTCCCTCAGAAAAGACCCAATATGTTCTATTTCTTCTTCAATCTTTATTCATGATTTCTTCTGCTTCCACCCTGGTGGCATCTTCTAACTCTGAGTATCTCAAAATGAACCATAGTACACTCTTTGAGTTCCCAAGATTCTAATTAACCCAAATCAGAATCCTTATTTCAAAATCTACAATTCCCTCCAGTCTCTCAATACTATTAAAATCTCTTTTCTTAGTCAATAAAATATGGCTATTTTAAGCTGCTGAAATTTTCCTTCTGCAATGGACATGTGTACATTATGGCAATAATAATGGGTTTACTAAAATGAATCAAGTAAATTTTGAAAAGTTAAAAGTCTGTTTTACCACATTTGATAACTACACAGCACCTGGAAATTGCAATCAAGTAACAACTTTTATACTAAATTCAGAGTCTGGAGGCAGCAAAGGAAATAAGTGTGACGGGGAAATAATGTAATTAAGGACAAAGTGCATAAATTATCAGTCACAGCATTTAACAATACCTCTTATTAATCATAATATTTAGAAAAATAACATCATTTGATTTTAAAGCATTAGTACTCTGCCCATAGCTCTGGGAACATAAAGGAAAGCAATACAGATTTAGAACTTTAAAAAGTCAGGTTCTCTACAATGGTATTTCTCTCAATTAAATCAAGCAAAGACATCTAGAAAGCAAAGATGAATATGGACATTTAAAAAAGGGAAACTAAGAAGACAAAGACCAGCTTTTTAAAAAGTTTAATAAAGTCAGGTTCTCTACAATGGTATTTCTCTCAATTAAATCAAGCAAAGACATCTAGAAAGCAAAGACGAATATGGACATTTAAAAAAGGGAAACTAAGAAGACAAAGACCAGCTTTTTAAAAAGTTTAACTACCTAATTATTATAATTCATAATGTTAAAAGACTATACATACTACCTATACAGAGTTATACTGATGCCACATTGCCACAAACATGCTGCTTGTTCGTAAGAGAAAAGGTGGAAAAAGGTGTCAAAACATCTGAATAAAGGAAATTAGCAATATAAACCGAAATCAAATGCTACCAATTGCCTAGACATGTCTGGACTTGTTTTATGAAAGCTCACTCCCACTTGAGGAAATTCCAGCATCTGTTCCCCCCTGCCTTACCTACAAGTTTCCATCAAAATAAAGTCCTTCTCAAAGCACAAAGGTACAAAAGGCCCCCTACCAGAGGTGATAAAATTCCCTGGATTGAAGAAAAAATTCTTGCCAAGTACAGACTTAACCCTTATCACATTTTATCTTTCTAATTTTTAAGGAATAGCTAACTAGATATTCCAAAATTATTTCTTCTGTTGCAAGTAACAATCAACATGTCAACTCCCCAAAAAGACCTATATGTGGCAATTACATCAGGTATTCACACATTTGCAAACAAAAATTAGCATAAAATATAACTCTAAAATAAATAAAACCAAGTATTTGGTGAATACATGAATGGTGGATATAGAGACCCAAAGCATATGAGACTCGGATCCTTGCAACTGTTGCATTAGTTTAAGAGACTAAATTGAAGGCTGATATAAATAAATATTTCTCACATCTTAAAAACCATTCAATTTGATGCCTGCAGTGGCAGAAATGAAGACTTTATAGTGGTTAATGTCCTGGTTTGGAAAGGGGTTGAGAGGACATTATAGAAAATCAAAGCTTCACGATGTACCCTGCTGAAAGAAAACGAATTATCATAGCATACTTAGTTTTCATGATTGGACTGGGGCCTACTCTTCACACACTGAATTAAAGACTGTCGCTTTCCCATTTGGAGAAATCTACAGAGGAAGGAGAACACGAAAGATAAAAGAAACAGGTTACTGACACCTCAGCAAACTAGGGAAGTCTGTAATTGGGAATTCTGGAAATAAGAGAAAGACGGCGAGCCTTACTCTGGTCATGAGAACGCAGCAAGAAGGAATGAAAGGGAGAAAAAGAAAAATAATCAGCTGAGGCAAGGTACATTACACAAGGAAGGCTGGAAAGAACGCAGGAAACTGGGGAGCAAGAGGCCTTGGTGAATTGGTGAATGTTTTCCAGTCTCAGCTACGACGGTTCCTAATCCTGTTGGAATCACAGCTACAGATACTTCAGCATCGCCCACATATACCTTAAGATGCGCACGCATACACTCCAGCGAGCGCGCACACGCGCACACACACACACACACAGACAGACACACACGCACGCACACACGCACCTCAATCTCGTAAAGATGCCATCACGAACGATGGAATCCCCGGACCCCCACGGGGCGGGTGCCAGTGCAAGGGCCAAGGCAGCCGCGCGCACAGAGGATCCAAATGGTGCACGTGAAGTGCTTCAGACAAACAAACAGATAAATAAAAGCAGCGCACGCCCTGTCACGTGGAGGACAGGTGGAAATAGCATCCCAGAGGAACCGCCAGTCCCCGGCGCCCCCGGCTTCGTCCGAAATGCCCCGAGGCTCCCCGTCGCCCGCACTTACCGGAACCCCCGGGACGCGCCCGCGGTCAAGGCGCCGTCCGCCCGGGACGCCCGCCCTGCGCGCCCGCCTCGGCCCGGCCCGACTCCGCCTCTCCTCGGAGCAACTTTCTGGGCTGGAGGCCGCCGAGCCCTCTCCTAAGCCGAAGGCTGACTGTCAAAAGTCAGTCCAACGCGACCCACAGGGAAACAGCTGCAGGAAGTGACTGCGGAACCGGGAGGCGGCGGAGGAGGAGACTGAGGGCGCCGGTCGGCGTCGCCACTGCGCATGTGCCTGGCGGAGGAGGCCCCGCGGCGGCGGCGGCGCCTGCTCCTGCATCCCCGGCAGCGGGAGGCGCGCAGGACAGGTGCCGTGATCGCGAGTGCAGGGGCGCTGGGCTGGGCCGGCGTGGGGAAGGAAGAAAGCCACGAGTCGGAGGAGGATGCACCACCGCTAATCTCAGGAGACAGCTCCTGAGAACTGTTCGTCGTAGACCCTGGAAAGTTGATCCATAGCAGAAGCCTGGGCAGAGCTTTTGCAACTTTCGGCTCCTGTCTGACATCCAAACAGTTTCATTCCAGCCCGGCTCTCAACCTGCTGATTGCCGCCGAAGGGCGGCTGAGTGGAGCTGCCGAATGCCCAGGATCCTTTAAATTCTGCAACAGAACCTTTAGAATGCACCTCTTCCCCACTTCCGCCCCGGGATGGAAGAAGAAAAGCGGAAAGCGTGGCTCCTGCACAGTGGCCTCTCATCACATAAGAACCTACCCTCTACCGACCCCCACATACCTTACCTTTCCTCTGCACTGATAAGCAAGAGACAGAGAAGAATTTCTCCTGACCCCCGGAGCCTCACCTGCAAGACAAGAAGGACCAGGAAGAGACTGGCTAACGCTAGGATGTCGCATCCTCTCATAGCCAACCTGGACATCTTCAGAGTTAACATTGAGAGATGAACTGAGGAATCCCGCTCCAAAATTCTACCAGTTTGTAAATTTACCCATATGAAGATTTGTTGGGTGTGTGTGTGTGTGTGTGTGTGTGTGTGTGTGTGTGTGTGTGTGTGTGTTAAACTATACATAACATAAATTTATCATTCTAACCATTTCAGGAGTATGCTTCAGCGGCATTAAGTACATTCACATTGTTGTGTGGTTATTTTTTTAGTCTGTAAAAAATATGCTGAGCCTCCTCCACAGCTGAAGGCTGTGCCAAGGAGATCTAAGTGTAATAAGATGTGCCCTAGTAGTGGGCAAACTACTACAGGAAAGTAAGGCTGTTTTTTTGGCTGAAACATGCACCATCCAATACCACCACCAACAAACCAGAAATGACTTCATAAGTAAAATGATTGTTTAGCAAAAATACACACAGCTACTGTACACCAGTCATTTGGGGAGAGTAATCTATCATCTGAATTATCTTTCCAATGACATGTGCACATATACTTTGTGTCAAAATTTTAAATGGCCACATTGTTTTTAAAATAATAAATGCTGCCTAAATCCACTCTCCAGCCCTTTTTCTATCTGGGAGAACTTCACAACCACACTCAGAGAGGACCACGACTAGGCCCTTGGCTAACCTTTGCAATCTGACCTCCCACAAGGCTCCTCACCTTTACTCACAGCCCTGTCCACTCCACTTACTTGCCCAAATCTGTGTTTTAGCTCCATCTGCATCTTGAGTGTGAAATGCCTTTTCTCCCCTCTCCATGCATTTCCAAATCCTACCCATCCTTGAAGGCCTCTTCTTCTATGATCTCCCATAGCACTTTCTCTGCACACCTTGATGACACACTTAATATTTGTTGCCTCCCTTTACAATTACTTGAAGTGATACTTAATCTGCCTTATAAGCTCCTTGAGTGCAGGAAGAATATGTAGAAGAATTTGAAATTTTCAAATTTTGTACTTTGCGGTATGCATTTTTGTATGTCAGGATAAAAATCTGAAATATTTACTGATGTACCCCACTCTGTAGCTCTACACACACACACACACACACACACACACACACACACACACAATTCTGTGTTCTCTGCCCCTGGTCAAGAATACTTTTCTCAGGGCCGGCGCGGTGGCGCACTGGATAGTGCGCCGCTTGGGAAGCGCGGCGGCGCTCCCGCCCCGCGGGTCGGGTCCCCCATCACCCCCCGGCCCC